TTAAACATATTTCACAATATACATTGTTTATATATATATATATATATATATATATATATATATATATATATATATATATATATATATATATATATATATATATATATATATATATATATAAACAGTTACATAAACAGTTATATAACATTGTATTCAGTGTTAATAATCATAAACAATACCAGTGTCAAGTGTCCAAATTATTGTCATTGATCCCAAGACAATACAAATATGTTATGCTACATCATGTTCATACCCGATTTATACATTTGTATGGGTTTTTTTTCCTTTAAAATTGTAATATATTTCAGAAAAAAAATACAATAAAGTAAAATTGGAGAAAAGGCATGCATGTACATGATGACAGATGTATTTATACATTGGTTCTTTTACCATTTTCAAAAAAAAAATTTCCAAGTAAGCATAAAATTTCTTTATTTTCATTATTCAAAATCCATACAAGTTTTTCAGCAGGTGTCAAAGAAGAGAAATTTGGGTTGATTTTTGAAATTGTTTCCATTAATTGCAACCTTTAATTCTTATATTTTGGACATATAAGCAAAAAATGCTGTTCATCTTCAACCTCCTGCATATTACATTGAGAACACTTTCTAGATTCAGGGGGAAGTTCTGCATATCTTCCTCTTTCAATATTTAATTGATGTGCAGAATTGCGTAGTTTAGTTACATTTTCCCTCTGATCATACACTAGACAAAATTGCTAACGCACCACTTATTATTCTTATTTGTGAATTGATCATTTTCCTGATTGGTACTATTATATAAAATATTGTTTCTTTTCCAAAACAGTTGGATTGACAAATGTCTTGGTGTCATGTCAAGACCCTTAAAGGATCTTCTTGTCCGAAAACCAATTTCCCGACGTGCACTGCGCACCGTTTTTGCCAAGATATGAAGTTGGTGATTACCGATGGTGGTCCGTGACGTTGCGACGGGAGCAGTCTCCCACTTAAAAATCAAATGATATACCCTGATTGACTACCATATCGCTTAGTAGTCATCCAGTGCATTGGTGTCCCTACCAAATCCACCCAACTTCCGGTTGCCTCAATTTTGTGGAACAATCTTGATATTATTGTGTCGTGCTCACTTAATGCCGTCGATATCTATTGTAAACATTTTTATGATCGTTAATTCATTTTCAACAATTTTTCACCAGAGAAATTCATAATCATTTAATTCTTTTAATTTTTTACAAATTTCTTCAAAGGAACCCCCTGCAGACACCATACTGGCTGCCTTAGCACGCTCTTCTAGAGTCAAACGCCGCATACGGTGTAACTTTTTTTCTGAGTTTTTAATTAGTACAAAAATAAAAAACACAACCACAAAGAAAAAATTAGAAATTAATTCCACCAAAAAAGTATGAATGTGATTTTAATTTTTTCTATGAAGTGGTTACGCTTCAGTAAACATTGTTGTTATTTATCAGTTAAAACATTTAAATGTCTCATTTTTTACTAAAGTAACATAATTATATATCAAAAACATCATAAACAAGTTTTGAAAAGAAAAATGTTAATTTATTTAGGTGGTGCGTTAGCAATTTTGAGTAGTGTAGTTATTGATAATGTTTAGATAGTGCTCTCTTCCAAAGTTGTTTTTGAAAGTGGAATAAGTTCTTAGTTTCCCATTGTTTTGCTCTTTATTTTCTTTATACCATAGGTTTATAAAATACTGTCTTATAATACATGATGACTTCTTTTTAAATGAATAAATGCTTTGTTTTGATAAGTCAATATAACTGACCCAAAATTGTCTGGATGGATGCAAACCATGATGGTTTATTGTGTAGAAAGAGGCTTTTTGATACTGAATAAGCTTCCTTGAGTAGGACAAAAGATGGATGTAATGTTTCAAGTCGAAACCAATAACTTAGCATAGCTTTAATAATTCTATAATACAGTGGAAATCTACCTAGTTCAGATAGAATTGCAAAGTTAGTTGACTTTCTATGCACACCAAGAATAGCCTTGCAGTATTTAATGTGCTTTGTTTCACATTTTAATTTGTTAAATATTTTGTCCATTGTAATATCTTTGTTTTTTAAATTTGGAAGCAAGGGGGTTAAAAGACCCCCAAATTTCACAACCATACAGAAGAATTGGAGCAATGGTATGATCAAATAAATGAAAATTAATATTGACATTATGACAATAGGACATAATTTCTCTCTGTAATTTTGAACATGCTTTCAAGGTACTACATACATGTAGTAGTTATGACATCACAAGTCACAACATGTACTGCGTTACCATTCTATACATAATACCAAGCCTATACACCAATGGTAGTAGATATTTATAACAGTAAAAAAACAACAGCAGCGTTATCCTTATCACAATGTGTCAATATTTATATGACATATAATGTTTGATATACATATCACTCAAACGTTTCTGAACCGGGTCGGTGCAAATGTAAATACATCACAACACATGATGGGTAAGTATTCAAAAGAATAAGAAACTTCTCTAAACCACTCGGTATAGTGTGGAGGTTTGACTATATGTAGGTTTAATATTCCATCTCCTCCCAGCTGTTGTACATGTACATGTGTAATTAGGCGTTTATAGCAGCCAATTCAAAACGTTTTCTCACCCGGGACGCTGGAAATACATTAAATACATCTCTATTTTTAATTAGACCAAATTTCCTTATGTCAAAACCGAAAATGGGCAGTAAATGCTGGTAAGTATTGTTCTTGAAATTAATGGGGGGGTTTTTCTGTCTTTACCCTCATATTGATCGATGCAAAAAGCAACACCTGATAATTCATTGCTATTAAGACGAATATACAGAAAAATGACAATCAATACGAAGGCAATTTTGTGTTATTGAACTCTGAACAATATTGTATACATTAGTCATTTCCCCTATATCGGTGTTCGTATTAGCCGACTCCTTACTATTACAAAGATCTATCTTATATCAATTTATAATGAAGAAGGTGAAGATAACGAAATGTGACCCTCACAAGCGGTGAGCTTTCTTTATTGTTCAGGTGAACGGAGTAGTCCGTAGACAGAATGAGTGTAATTTTAAGTAAAAACAACGACCTAACAATTAAAATCAATAAACATGACAATCAAAATACTAGCAGGTACCAACAATAGGTTGTATTTGCAAACGATAACATAACGATCATAGAACTGCGAAATGTTGACTTTAAACGACATTGTAGAAATTCCCATAACATCCACTCATTTGTCAGTGGCCTGCCTCTATTTAAAGTTGATCGTACTCAGATAATGCTCTTGTGCACTGAATCAGTAGTGAACCAGTAAATAACATTATACAGGTGATAGTGGAATATTATAAGAGGAAAAGCTAAAGTCATCCAGTTCGTTATTTATTTAAGTTGTAATGTTAGGTCTATAGTCAGTAAAATATCCACATATGAAACAGATGTGGCAGACAGTGGTGTCTTTTATTTCAGTTTACTGGCCATGGAATATGCAGTGTCAATCTCCAGTTTTTGTTTTAGAGAACTTTTCGCTCTGTTCGTTCTTCTTTGAATTTGAATTGTTATCGAATGTACTACATATACGTTTGTTCTCCATTATGTATAGATACACTGTACACCTCTTCGACCGGGAAAGCTTCAGTTTTCTATAGCCCTTTTCCAACTGTTGATGAATTTTAATAATACTTTAAGGTGACACCTCCCTGCTTATGATGTCATTAAATCTGGCCAGCCGTTCTATTGAGTGTATTTTCATAAAGCTCGAGGGTTCTTCTATATACTGTATTTTCATAAAGCTCGAAGGCTCCATGCCTAAGTCCTCTGGAGAGACTCTTCCTCAAAATAAAGCAATGAACAATGAATGTTTGCTATATCATCTCGGTTCTATATATATTGTCAATCTATTTACAGCTTTCTCCTGTAAACCGGCTTGCAGTTACTGTTACCATGACAGCTGTCACTTTAATAATGATATCTGTCTATGTGTTGCTGGATTCCTTGGACTTGACTGTAACCAGAAATATCAGGCAATTCAGATATCTAACCAGAAATGTCAGGTAAAAGAAATATCTAACCAGAAATGTCAGGTAATACAGAAATCTAATTAGAAGTGTCAGGTAATCCAGATATCTAACCAGAAATGTCAGTTAATACAGATATCTAACCAGAAATGTCAGTTAATACAGATATCTAACCAGAAATGTCAGGTAATACAGATATCTAACCAGAAATGTCAGGTAAATCAGATATCTAGCCAGAAATGCCAGGTAAATCAGATATTTAACCAGAAATGTCAGGTAATACAGATATCTTACCAGAAATGTCAGGTAAATCAGATATCTAACCAGAAATGTCAGGTTTTACAGATTTCTAACCAGAAATATCAGGTAAAAGAGATATCTAACCAGAAATGTCAGAGAAATCAGATATCAAACCAGATATGTCAGGTAAATCAGATATCTAACCAGAAATGTCAGGTAATACAGATATCTTATCAGAAATGTCAGGTAAATCAGATATCTAACTAGAAATGTCAGGTAAATCAGATATCTAACCACATGTATCAGGTAAATCAGACATCTGACCAGAAATGTCAGGTCATACAGATATCTAACCAAAAATGTCAGGTAATACAGATGTCTAACAAAAAATGTCAGGTAATACAAACATCTAACCAGAAATGTAAGTTAATACAGTTATCTAGTAACCAGAAATGTCAAGTAATACAGATTTCTAACCCAAAATGCCAGGTAATACAGATATCTCACAAGAAATGTCAGGTTATACAGCTATCTAACCAGAAATGTTAGGTAATCCAGATATCTAACCAGAAATGTCAGGTAATACAGTTATCTAGTAACCACAAACGTCAGGCAATCCAGAAATCTAACCAAAAATGTCAGGTAATACAGATATTTAACAAGAAATGTCACGTAATACAGATTTCTAACCAGAAATGTCAGGTAATACAGATATCTAACCAGAAATTTCAGGTAAAAGAGATATCTGATCAGATATGTCAGGTAAATCAGATATCAAACCAGATTTGTCAGGTAAATCAGGTAAATCAGATATCAAACCAGATTTCTCAGGTAAATCAGATATCAAACCAGAAATGTCATGTAATACAGATATCAAACAAGAAATGTCAGGTAAACCAGATATCTAACCTGAAATGTCAGGTAATACAGATATCTAACCAGAAATGTCAGGTAAATCAGATATCTAACCAGAAATGTCAGTAGAAAAAGATATCTAGCAAGAAATGTCAGGTGAAAGAGGTATCTAACCACATATGTCAGGTAATGCAGATATCTAACCAGAAATGTCAGTTAATACAGATATTCAACCAGAAATGTCAGGAAATTCAGATATCAAACAAGAAATGTCGGGTAAATCAGATATCTAACCAGAAATGTCAGATAATACGGATATCTAACCAGAAATGTCAGGTAAATCAGACATATAACCAGAAATGTCAGGTAATACATATATCTAACCAAAATGTCAGGTAATACAGATGTCTAACCAAAAATGTCAGGTAATACAAACATCTAACCAGAAATGTAAGTTAATACAGTTATCGAGTAACCAGAAATGTCATGTAATACAGATTTCTAACCCAAAATGCCAGGTAATATAGATATCTAACCAGAAATGTCAGGTAATTCAGATATCTAATCATAACGTCAGGTAATCCAGATATCTGACCAGAAATGTCAGGTAATCCAGACATCTAACCAGAAAGTCAGGTAATACAGATATAAAACCAGAAATGTCACGTAATACAGATATCTAACCAGAAATATCAGGTAATAGCGATATCTAACAAAAAATATCAAGTTATACAGATATTTAAACAGGAATGTCAGGTTATACAGATATCTAACCCAAATTGTTAGGTAATAGAGATATCTATCCAGAAATGTCAGCTAATGGAGATATCTAACCAGAAATGTCAGGTTAATCAGATATCTTACCAGAAATGTCAGGTTTACATAGATATCTAACCAGAAATCTCAGGTAATATAGATATCTAACCAGAAATATCAAGTAATTCAGATATCTAACCAGAAATATCAGGAAATCCAGATATCTTACCAGAAATGTCAGTTTATAGAGATATCTAACCAGAAATGTCAGGTAAATCAGATATCTAACCAGAAATGTCAGGAAATCCAGATATCTAACCAGAAATGTCAGGTTATCCAGACATGTAACCAGAAATGTCAGGTAAATCAGATATCTAACCAGAAATGTCAGGAAATCCAGATATCTAACCAGAAATGTCAGGTAATCCAGACATGTAACCAGAAATGTCAGGAAAATCAGATATCTAACCAGATATGTCAGGTGAATCAGACATCTGACAAGAAATGTCAGGTAATACAGATATCTAACCAAAAATTTCAGGTAATACAGATGTCTAACAAAAAAAGTCAGGTAATACAAACATTTAACCAGAAATGTAAGTTAATACAGTTATCTAGTAACCAGAAATGTCAAGTAATACAGATTTCTAACCCAAAATGCCAGGAAATATAGATATCTAACAAGAAATGTCAGGTTATACAGCTATCTAACCAGAAATGTAAGGTATTCCAGATATCTAACCAGAAATGTCAGGTAATATAGATATCAAACCAGAAATGTCAGGTAAAAGAGATATCTAACCAGATATGTCAGGTAAATCAGATATCAAACCAGAAATATCAGGTAATACAGATGTCTAACCAAAAATGTCATGTTATACAGATATCTGACCAGAAATGTCAGGTTATACAGCTATCTAACCAGAAATGTAAGGTATTCCAGATATCTAACCAGAAATGTCAGGTAATACAGATATCAAACCAGAAATGTCATGTAATACAGATATCTGACCAGAAATGTCAGGTTATTCAGATATCAAACAAGAAATGTCAGGTTAATCAGATATCTAACCAGAAATGTCAGGTAAATCAGATATCTAACAAGAAATGTCAGGTAATTCAGATATCTTATCAGATATTTCCGGAAAATCAGATATCTAACCAGAAATGTCAGGTAATTCAGATATCTTATCAGAAATGTCAGGTAAATCAGATATCTAACAAGAAATGTCAGGTGATGCAGATATCTAACAAGAAATGTCAGGTAAAAGAGATGTCTGACAAGAAATGTCTGGTAATCCAGATATCGAAACAAAAAATGTCAGATGATACAGATATTCAACCAGAAATGTCAGTCAACAAAGGTATCTAACATGAAATATCAGATAATACAGATATCTGGCCAGAAATGCCAGGTAATAAAAATATCTATCCAGAACTGTCAGGTAATCCAAATATCTAACCAGAAATGACAGGTAAATCAGATATTAACAAGAATTGTCAGGTAATACGGATACCTAACATGAACTGTCAGGTAAAAGAGATATCTAATCAGATATGTCAGGTAAATCAGATATCAAACCAGATTTGTCAGGTAAATCAGATATCTAACCAGAAATGTCATGTAACACAGATATCTAACCAGAAATGTCAAGTAATTCAGATATCTAACCAGAAATGTCAGAGAAATCAGATATCAAACCAGATAAGTCACTTAAATCAGATATCTAACCAGAAATGTCATGTAATACAGATATCTAACCAGAAATGTCAGGTAATACAGATATCTTACCAGAAATGTCACGTAAATCAGATATCTTACAAGAAATGTCAGGTAATGCAGATATCTAACAGGAAATGTCAGGTAAAAGAGACGTCTAACAAGAAATGTCATGTAATCCAGATATTTAACCAGAAAATGTCAGATGATACAGATATCTAACCAGAAATGTCAGGTAATTCAGATATCTAACAAGAAATGTCAGGTAATACAGATATCTAACCAGAAATGTCAGGTAATTCAGATATCTAACAAAAAATGTCAGGTAATACAGATATCTAACCAGAAATATCAAATAATACAGATATCTAACCAGAAATGTCAGGTAATTCAGATATCTAACCAGAATTGTAAGTTTATTCAGATATCTAAGCAGAAATGAAATGTCAGGGAATACAGTTATCTAACCAGAAATGTCAGGTAATTCAGTTATCCAACCAGAAATGTAGATATCTCATCTAATACTTAGTATTGTTCAGCTTCTTTGTTGTTATTTACTTCCACTTAAAGTGGGGGATGTTAATATGGGTCTATATGTATGTCTGTCATTCTTATATTTTTATACTGGAAGATTAAAATTTATTGAATCATTTTGAATTCAAACTTATAGAGCTACAGTCTCATCTGAGACTTGTTTAATATTAAGGTTGGACTGTGTTGACTTTACAGAAGCTGACCTATGGCCCTGGTTGTATCTATTGCTGTGACCTTATATTAAGGTTGGACTGTATTTATTTATAGAAGCTGACCTATGGCCCTGATTGTATCTATCACTGTGACCAGTGTGTCCATAGTGAAACCTGTGACCCAATTTCTGGTCAGTGTCAATGTTTACCAGGATACCAGGGGTTTTCTGTCAACAACCATGTCCTAAAGGTACCTATGGCAACAGTTGTAAACAGAACTGCAGGTATATCATAATTATTTACAATTATCTATCGCGACTTTTTTTTTATTTGTGTGAAACTAACATTCAGAAAGTTGAAATAACTGATGCAAGTTTATAACATGATTCAGTCTACAATATCATGAATATGTAACTATCTTATTCACAAATCATCAGTGAAAAAAAAAGTTAAGACAAAATAATTCACACTGTAGACATTCTTTCTTTAGCTTTTTGGATGGCAATAATTTCGGTCTCTGCTTTGTTCATGGAATCAATTTTTTTTCATTTGAAAGTTGTCAGAATGGTGGAGAATGTGATAATGTCAATGGAACCTGTCTGTGTCCCACGGGATTCATGGGATCTGATTGCTCTCAGAGAGTAAGTATAATAGAATTCTTTATTTGTGGGATTTATGGGATCTGATTGCTCTCAGAGGGTAAGTATAATAGAATTCTTTATTTGTGGGATTCATGGGATCTGATTGTTCTCAGAGAGTAAGTATAATAGAATTCTTTATTTGTGGGATTCATGGGACCTGATTGTTCTCAGAGAGTAAGTATAATAGAATTCTTTATTTGTGGGATTCATGGGACCTGATTGCTATCAGAGAGTAAGTATAATAGAATTCTTTATTTGTGGGATTCATGGGATCTGATTGCTTTCAGAGAGTAAGTATAATAGAATTCTTTATTTGTGGGATTCATGGGATCTGATTGTTCTCAGAGAGTAAGTATAATAGAATTCTTTATTTGTGGGATTCATGGGACCTGATTGTTCTCAGAGAGTAAGTATAATAGAATTCTTTATTTGTGGGATTCATGGGATCTGATTGTTCTCAGAGAGTAAGAATAATAGAATTCTTTATTTGTGGGATTCATGGGATATTAACTTTCCCCAGAGGGTTATAGTATTGTGGATTCTTTACTTGTGAAATTCCAGGGATCTGATTGTTATCAGACTCAGAGGTAAGTCAATGAAATGTGTAGTTTGTTCTCAAAGATATACACTTAAACACTTCATATTAGCAGTTCTCATGGTTATTCTTTTTATCCCCAGTGCCCAAAGGGAAAATATGGGCCAGACTGTTCCCTGAACTGTACGTGTGGTCCCTTGTCTGAGGGATGTGATGTCACCACAGGAAAATGTATCTGTCAGCCCGGGTTTACTGGAGGTAATGCTTTATCAAAAAAAAATAATGTCTTTTAACTCACCCGAGGCAAAGGCTCAAATTAGATTTTTATTGAAAAGTGATGGTGTATGATTTGTATGGGCAGATAAGTGTGAGAAGTCGTGTCCGAGCCTGGCGTATGGAGCCGGCTGTGAGAGATCCTGTCTGGACATGTGTAATGTCACAGGAATGCTTACCTGTAGTCCTGTAGATGGCGCTTGTCAGTGTCGCCCCGGATACACGGGACAAAAGTGTGACCAGCGTAAGTATAGACACACCTTATCAAGATGTAGTACTCATCTGTTCATATGAACACTGTAATCGTATAATCACTCGTTTATTTAGATTGTGCAAGTGGGATGTGGGGTGTTTCCTGTGCTCAGAGGTGTTTATGTGGTTCCCATGGTAACTGTGACAGAGAGACAGGTGTGTGTGACTATGTAAAGTCAGTGTAACAATATTCCAATTATCAGTGATGTACTGTAATCAGGGTAAGTAAATCCAGTGTAACAATATTCCAATTATCAATGATGTACTGTAATCAGGGTATGTAAAGCCAGTGTAACAATATTCCAATTATATACTGTAATCAGGGTAAGTAAATCCAGTGTAACAATATTCCAATTATCAGTGATGTACTGTAATCAGGATATGTAAAGCCAGTGTAACAATATTCCAATTATATACTGTAATCAGGGTAAGTAAATCCAGTGTAACAATATTCCAATTATCAGTGATGTACTGTAATCAGGGTATGTAAAGCCAGTGTAACAATATTCCAATTATCAATGATGTACTGTAATCAGGGTATGTAAAGCCAGTGTAACAATATTCCAATTATATACTGTAATCAGGGTATGTAAAGCCAGTGTAACAATATTCCAATTATCAGTGATGTACTGTAATCAGGGTATGTAAAGCCAGTGTAACAATATTCCAATTATCAGTGATGTACTGTAATCAAGGTATGTAAAGCCAGTGTAACAATATTCCAATTATCAATGATGTACTGTAATCAGGGTATGTAAAGCCAGTGTAACAATATTTCAATTATCAATGATGTACTGTAATCAGGGTATGTAAAGCCAGTGTAACAATATTCCAATTATCAATGATGTGTAGTTCATCAAGCATTTTTCTTTAAAAAGAGAGTTATCATAATCTATATGTGATCTTCTTGATTCAGTGTGTGAAATGCTGGCTCCATTAGGAGCTGTGTATAACTGTAGCTGGTACCTAAATCTTACAGGTGTATGACATTAACTATTGGGTTTTTTCTTCCTTTATAGTGTGTGAAGTTTTGGCTTCATTAGGAACAGTGTATAGCTGTAGGGTACCAAAATCTTACAGCTGTATGTCATTAACTTTTGGTTTTTCTTATCTTTGTTTATAGTGTGTGATACTGGTTCCTAAGGAAAACATTGTAGCAAAGCCTGTAATTGTGGAGGGGCCAGCTGTAACCCTGTCACTGGAGAGTGCTTGTGTCCCCCTGGGAAAATAGGGCACCACTGTGAACAAGGTACAGAGGAATATACAATTTTACAATAGCACTGTGTTAAACAAGATATACTTGGTACAGCCTACTCCAGTTATTTTATATTGAACTTGAGGAGATGGCATAGAACATGCATTGTATTACGTGTGTGTATCCATGATCATTGTAAGAAATATAACTCCGTACAATATAAATTAAACTCCACAAAAATTGGTGATCTCACAGTATATTGTAACTGAGTTTTGAGTAAGTTAACATGATGTTTTGATAGAGTGTGGCGGGTTGTATTTTGGTTTCCAGTTTAAATAAGTTTATTTGATGTCAGATTTTAAGTTTATTTGATGTGTTTTGCTAGAGTGTGGTGCCTCGTACTTTGGTTTCCAATGTGCCCAGCTGTGTGGGTGTCAGAATAACGGTGTGTGTGACAAAGTGACGGGAGAGTGTACCTGTCAGCCGGGCTGGAGTGGAACATTCTGTGATCAAAGTAGGTCACCCAATTTTCAATGTTGGCAAAAAAGTAGGTCACCCAGCTCTCAATGTCAGCAGAAAAACTAGGTCACCCAACTCAGTGTCGGCAGAAAAAATGTTAACATATTACCTTTAAGCTTAACTAATGTCATTAGTACATGTAAGGCCTCCTTAGGGTGCATATTAGAAGTGATTCAAATCTTGATTTCTTTCTGTTATATCCTGAACACAAGGAATATCACAGTCAACAATTTTATGCCACAATAATTGTGCTAATGAACTGATGTTGAAGTAAACTCTCTGACAATATTAAGGTGACTTGGACATTATTAAGGTGACTCTTACATTGTTAAGCTGAACCAGACATTGTTAAGGTGACTCAGATATTGTTAAGGTGAATCTGACATTGTTAAGGTGACTCTGATATTGTTAAGGTGACTCTGACATTGTTAAGGTGACTCTGACATTGTTAAGGTGACTCTGACATTGTTAAGATAACTCATTGTTAAAGTGACTTGGACATAGTTGAGGTGAATCAGTCTTTGTTAAGGTGACTCAGACATTGTTAAGGTGAATCAGACATTGTTAATTTAACTCAGACATTGTTAAGGTGACTTGGACATTGTTGAGGTGAATCAGACATTGTTAATTTAACTCATACATTGTTAAGGTGACTTGGACATTGTTGAGTTGAATCAGACATTGTTAATTTAACTCAGACATTGTTAAGGTGACTCTAACATTGTTAAGGTGAATCAGACATTGTTAAGGTGAATCAGACATTGTTAAGGTGACTCGGACCTAGTTAAGGTGACTCAGACATTGTTAAGGTGACTCTGACATTGTTGAGGTGAATCAGACATAGTTAAGGTGACTCTGACATTGTTAAGGTGAATCAGGCATTGTTAGGTGACTCTGACATTGTTAAGATGAATCAGACATTGTTAAGGTGACTCTGACAGTGTTAAGGTGAATCAGACATTGTTAAGGTGACTCGGACCTAGTTAAGGTGACTCTGACATTGTTAAGGTGACTCAGACATTGTTGAGGTGAATCGGACATTGTTAAAGTGATTTATACATTGTTAAGGTTATTCATTCATTGTTAAGGTGACCTGAACATTGTTAAGGTGACTTGGACATTGTTAAGGGGGATCAGATATTGTTAAGGTGAATCTGACATTGTTGTGTTACAGGGTGTCCTGATGGTATGTACGGAGCTGACTGCAGTAACCAATGTCCTAACTGTAAATGGGGGGTCATGTGACAGTATCACAGGATTGTGTCTGTGTGCCATGGGATATAAAGGAGTTCTCTGTAACCAAAGTAAGTACTGCTGTAGACACAGGGCGTTGGATTACAAAAGTATTAGATTTTGAAGTACTGTACACAGCTATTACATTTTGTTATAAAAACTTTTTTTTAGTTCACCTCATCAAAATTGAGCTTTGCTTTTGATGGACTCCCCTTTTCACCTTTTTGGAGCCATATTTTTCATAAGTGTTTATTGTGTACATATTTGCATGCCCTATATGAGCTAATCTAATGCACTTATAATGCATCTGTAAAGAAGTTTTTCAGATTAAGGGTGAAGTTGTTGCTACTCTAACAAAGAAAAGGTGATTGTAGTTAATTTTGATAGAAAGAGTAAAATTATTTTTATGAAATACAAGACAATGTGAGTAATTAATACATACATTTATGATCATATTTCAAATACAATCATGTTATGTAATCTTTATTGCAGCTTGTGATCCAGGGACCTGGGGAGCAAACTGCCAGAGTTACTGCCCTTCACCTTGTAAACTAAACTGTGTCCCTACAACAGGGGAATGTCCCTGTCACCAGGGGGCGTGTCTCAATGGAGGAATCTGTAAACAGGTAAATACATTAACCAGAGTTACTGCCCTTCATTGTATCACTACTACAGGTGAATGTCCCTGTCACCAGGGGGCGTGTCTCAATGGAGGAATCTGTAAACAGGTAAATACCTTATCCAGAGTTACTGCCCTTCATTGTGTCTCTACAAAGGGGAAGTGTCCTTGTCACCAGGGGGCATGTCTCAATGGAGGAACAGTGATTGGGAAGGGCTTGCACCACGCGCCATAGTCGCATTGAAGTGAAAAATGGCGCATTAAATTAATCAATGGTGGCGCCAAGGTGTGCATTCAATTTTTAGCGATGTTATTTGGAAATATTTTGTGTACTTTCTTACTTGTTTTACTTTCGTTTTAAATGCAGTCAATTTTAAAATAACAAATCTCATTGGTTAAACCCCATCAAAAAACTGCTTCTGGTTAAACGAAGCACTTACATTAGGTACATTACTTCATTCATTTGTAGGGTTGCATGGTGCTCAATCCAAATTTTGACATTATTTAACACAAAATACGGGTAAATTACATTCTATGCAGGTTCCTTTAAATTTGCTGCATTGCAGATGTTAAAAATTAGATTCGGTTAATAAAAACGTGTTTTCTTTCGTTTTTCATATTTTGTTTGTCGTTTTGTTAATTTCTTAAAATGGCCCTTCAGAATATATTGATGGCCCATTCATTTTCAAATTGGCCCATTAAAATTTTTGACAGTTGCGCCATAGTCCCATTGACCTTTTTGGCCTTCCCAATCACTGGAGGAATCTGTAAGCAGATAAATACATTAGCCAGAGTTACTTCCCTTCATTGTATCCCTACTACAGGGGAATATCCCTGTCACCAGGGGGCGTGTCTCAATGGAGGAATCTGTAAACAGGTAAATACATTAACCAGAGTTACTGCCCTTCATTGTGTCCCTACTACAGGTGAATGTCCCTGTCACCAGGGGGCGTGTCTCAATGGAGGAATCTGTAAACAGGTAAATACATTAACCAGAGTTACTGACCTTTATTGTATCTCTACTACAGGGGAATGTCCCTGTCACCAGGGGGCGTGTCTCAATGGGGGAATCTGTAAACAGGTTAATACATAAGCCAGAGTTACTGCCCTTTATTGAGTCGGTCAACTGAGAGTTGCTGCCCCTGCTCCTAAGAGTTGCTGAAAAAAAAATTCTAATCAACAAGCAGATGTGGCCATCTATATGGAGTCATTTAATTTGTTATTTGGTTAAATTAATTAGATCCAATAACTGTTCTCCATCTTTAAAGAATTAAGGACAGAAGATATAAAATGACACATCATGTTCTCTGTTTTTGGCTCATATGAGCTTAAAGCTAAAGTGAACTTTTCTGAACAATGTTTGTCCATTGCCTTTCAGTCTATTTATTATTTTTTTTACATAATTATATTTAACTTCTAATTATAAAAATTAATTCATACTACATGGTAAAAACTTGATGGTTTTTGTTCCTTTTCAGGGTAAATGTATGTCATAGTTTCTTCTTCAGGGAAATGTGTGTGATAGTATGATTTCTTTTTCAGGGTAAATGTGTGTGATAGTACGATTTCTTTTTCATGGTAAAAACTTGATGGTTTTTGTTCCTTTTCAGGGTAAATGTATGTCATAGTTTCTTCTTCAGGGAAATGTGTGTGATAGTATGATTTCTTTTTCAGGGTAAATGTGTGTGATAGTACGATTTCTTTTTCAGGGTAAATGTATGTTTCAATATGGTTTTTTTTTCAGAGTAAATGTGTGTGATAGTATGATTTCTTTTTCAGGGTAAATATATGTGTCAATATGGTTTCTTTTTCAGGGTAAATGTGTGTCTCACTGTATGGTTTCTTTTTCAGGGTAAATGTGTGTCTCACTGTATGGTTTCTTTTTCAGGGTAAATGTATGTGTCAATATGGTTTCTTTTTCAGGGTAAATGTGTGTGTCAGTATGGTTTCTTTTTCAGGGTAAATGTGTGTGTCAGTATGGTTTCTTTTTCAGGGTAAATGTGTGTGTCAGTATGGTTTCTTTGGGGTTGACTGTTCACAGTCACTAGGAAGATCTCTGGTATCACAGGAATCCAATAGTTGTAAGTGACCATTGTATACAAAAAGATCCAATAATATTCTGCCAAAATTATTTGTATACGTCGAATTTTACATCCTCTGTAGTGAAAATCATGCATATAAAAGTCCTTTATTTTTCAGCACCTTCTAGTTTGACCTTGACCTCGGGTCAAGTGGTTGGTATAGTCATGGGTTTACTGGTCCTCATTTTGCTGGTAGTCCTGTTGACCATTTTTATAATGAGACGAAGATATCACAACCAACAGAACAACATTACATCAATGAACTTAAACAATTCTGTGAGTTTTGAAGAATTGTCCCCATTTAAAAGTATAAAGAGACCAAATAGTTTATTGGTTTTAA